TGATGGTTTTCAGTGCTGGCTGATGATTAAAATCACCTCCAGGATCATTATAACGCCAATGCTTGGACCACCACCTGGGGATTCTGACTTAACTGGGCTCAGGGTATCAGCGTTGTGATCCTAATGTTCATCCAAGGCTGAGGCCCACTGGATTATAGCAAGCTCAGCTGCCAGATGTAAGGGCAAGATCTGAAGAGGTTCAGCTAACACCAGTTTGAGGGCTTTTGAAGTAGAATTAGCGGAAAACAACCAGGCCTTGACCCACTAGCTGTGTGACTTTGAGCAAGCCAGTCGTTATTCTAAAGCCTCAGTTTCATGCTTTGTAAAATGGGAACACCTTGCAGGTTGTTGTGGGGGTTAAATGAGATGATCCTGGCAGTAACACTATCAATACTGTCCACACTCTGATGATTGCAAAGAGTGATAAACCCCAGCAGAAACCCACTTGACTACAGTATAATTCTGTATTAAATAAACTTGGTTCCACTTTTAAAACTGCCTGAAATTCACCTTGTTGTTTTTTTTTTAATCACCTTGTGATTTAAATTCAACTTTAAAGGATTTAAAGCCAGTTTTCACATCTGTCTAACTGGGGACTGGGACACAAGAATGTTTTTTATTGATCGTGAGCTCTAATTACATCTAATAAATGAAATAAGTAAATAAAAAGGAAGGTGGTGGGTTGCTTGTGGACAAATTGCTCTCAGTGATGATGCACGTGTCCTAAAGAGCAGAAGGTAAGGGCCTGGTGCTGCCTCAGACACTAGAAAACCTGCAGGGACTGGGCTTCCTTCGGGCCAAGCACTGCTGGTCCTGATGTGTTGGCTCAGTTTGTGGTGGTCTTGGTTGGGGTGTCTGTTGGAGGCAGACGAAGCAAGTCAAAAGAAAGGTATGTTACAATTTGCCTCAAGGAATTAGTTTATTTTCAGTCTTGAAATATTTCAGCTCCTTTTTCCGTATTTTGACAATTCCTGGAAACTGCTTGCATATTTCTCCTGGTCCTAACATTACTCAGAGCAGGACCTGCAGCCCACACTGGCGGAGGTACATGCATTTCACAGCATGTGAGAAACCTAAAACACCCGATTTCCCGGCTCCGGGCTCACTCCACCTGTGTTCCTTCTCTCTCACCATGGTCCTGGGCTACTGCTGCCCTCTCCCTTCACTTCTACAGATTCCTCTCATTTTCTATTTGTTTTTACTTTTCCAGTCCTTAACTTTTCCTCCTTTCATCTATTTCCATAATAAAACAATACTGATGTATGACCAAAGAGGCAAGGGCAACAAATTAGATAACTTTGTAAAATAAATTCCTAGAAAGACATGTACCATTAAAACTGACTCAAGAAGAAGTGGAAAATCTGAATAGACCTGTAAAAAGTAGTGAGTGAATTCATAATCAAAAAGCTACCCACAAAGAAAAGCTCAGGACCAGATGGCTTCACTGGTGAATTCTACCAGATCTTTTAAAAAGAATTAATCCCAGTTCTTCATAAATTCTTCCAAAAAAAAACAAAAGAGGAAGAAACACTTCTCAACTCAGTCTATGAAGCTAATATTACCCTGATCCCAACACCAGACAAAACAAGAAAAGGAAACTGCAGACCAAAATCTTTTATGGATATAGATATAAAAATCCTCAACAAAACACCAGCAAACTGAATCCAGCAACATATAAAAGGGATTATGCATCACGGCTAGGTAGGATTTATCCTAGAGATTTGAGAAATATGAGACAAATAAGAAGGAGAAGTTTTGATATGAAGCCCAGACCTCTGCTCTTCTGACCTGTCAAGCTGCAAAGATCAGAGACTCACAAAGAGCTTCCAGCTAGATGGGACTTTAGAGACAAATTAGTCCCAGCTCCCATTTTGCTGGTGGGGAAAACTGAGGACCACAGAAGCAGAGTGACTTGATAATCGTCAGGGAGATAACTGGTGGGAGCCAGGACTGGAGCTCTCACTCTCTGCTTCCCATTGAGGTGCTTTCCCTCACCCGAGTCTTGTCCATTGTTGTCCAGTTGCTCAGCGTGGATGCAATTGACCTGGAAGATCTTGTCACCATGGATATCAGGGAGATGATGATGATGATGATAATAATAATAATAATAATAATAATATAGCTAATACTTAAATAATACTTACCTTGTGCTAGACAAGGTTTTAAGTGCTTAATATGCATTAACTCACTTAATCCCCATAGAAACCCTACAAGGTAAAGATATCAATGTTCCCATTTTATGGATGAAAACATTGAGGCAGAAGGTAAAGCAGTTTGCCAAGGTCACTCATCTAGTAAGTGGCAGAAGCCTGGCTCTTTGCACAATTAATCCCCATCCCGGCTTGGAGAGGAGAATAAGGAAGACCCGAGTTGAGCCTGAGGAGGCTCCATGATAGGTCAGAGCTCTGCCCGAGCCCCTGATCTGACCAGCGCTTAACATGTGCAGTTCATCTCCAGAGAGAAGGAAGAACAGGAGGGCAAGGAGCCTGAGGTTTTTAAAAATATTTTCATGCTTCCTGACCTAAGAGTCCAAGCTGGAGACAAAGTGATGCCTTAGAAAGGATCCGTACGCTGGACTGAATGACAAGGGCTTAGCAATGGCGCTGCTTCCCCGTTACAGCTTCTTCATCTCAGAAATGTCCTCTTCAAACAATCCTTATGGCACCACAGACCAGTGCCTTCAGGGTCACTGGCTACTTGGGAGGTGGCCTTCCCATGGGAAGAGGCAGTGGCACCCTAATCATTGCTGCCAGGCCAGTGCCCTCGGGGGTATGGCCTTAACTGGAGTCACTGCACAGGTCTAGACGGCCTGGACCCCAGAGGCACAAGAGCAATTCTGATGACTCTGATTAACCGTATGGAGCGAAATGACCTCCCTGGTCCCTTTGTTAAATCTGCCCTATCATAGAGGCGCACGGTAGGTGCTCAATAAATGTTTGTGGAATTAATAACTTATGCCCTCATCCCATCTTATCATAAACAGGCTTAACAGTGTCAACACCTTGAAGGGGGCCTTGTTTACTTCTTAAATCTAGAGAAAGTGCAGAGCATGGTGGGCTTCCGTACCATGGGAGTCACGGGGTGAAACTCACGTAAGTTCTTTAATTTTGATAAGGACCACTGCCATCAGAGTTTTCTTCTCGTGAAGGTTCCTACTACATCCTTCACGTGTGCGTGTGTCCTGTCCCCGGAGCGCGGCCTCCTCGGGGACAGAGCGACTGCACTCCACAGATCTTGCATCCCTACCGCCGAGTCAAGTCCTCAACACACAGTAGGGACTCAGGAAGAGTCACTGAATGAGTGAGAGGTTATATATGCGATGTGTGAAAACACGAACACACATCACAGGAGTTATCAGTGGCTGCCGTGGTCAGGGTTCCTTACAAGAACTTTGTCCTTACGGGACATTTATTGTGCACCTTCCGATAGCTGAGGACTCCTGAACATGGATATTGTTGTCTTTAGTGCCTGTTCACGCAAAGGAAGCAGTATACGAAGTGAACACGGGCGTTACCCATCAGACTGGTTTTGGATCCACAAATTCGTGGCTATGTGCCCTTGGGCAGATGATCTACCTCTTCTAGCTTTAAAAAAAAAAAAAAAAAAGCAAAGACAAGCATGCCCATTTGCCATTGTTGGTTTGGATTAAACAAGATTCTGCTCATCAAGTGCTTTGAACACAGTTGGTGCCAAATACATGTAATCTCCTTGGGCCTCTCTCCTTACACTCTCTGTCCTCATTTTCCTCCTCTGAAAAATAAGGCGGTGACCCGTAAGGGTCATTTGTGTGGGTGAATGAGGACAGAACAAGATGTCCTGTGACCACTTACAGAGTGGAGTGGCCAGGACCGTGACCTGCATGTACTTGCCTTTCAAGGAGACGCTTTATCAGCAAAGCAAAGCACCACAACACAAACTAGACACCACCACTAGCAACAACCAACCCCAGCAAGCTTCTGCTGGGGGCCGGAGCCCATTCTCAGGGCTGTTAACACAGCCACAGGGTCGCGGGGATGATGCGCTTTCCCTTAGCCCTGAGCGCTTAGAGAGACTGTCTTGAGACTGTTGGCTTTCACCTTGCAGTTAGTTCTTTATAAGCAGAAACAAAGCGTCCAGGAGGCTGTCATTTTCCCAGTCTACCCCAAAGGCAGGTATTTGACCTGCTTGTTATGGAAACTCTGTTGCAGGTGATTCCAGTCTACAAAGAACAAAAAGCTCCAAGGGGGGGCGCTGCAGACTGGGTCCCTTTCTGAAACATGGAACTTCTTTAGGGAAATCTGTTCCAGATAAAGTGAAGCCACTGTCTTCCAGACACCTAAGGATTTTTAAGGGACTGGTGGTCAGAGCCAGGCCTGACTGTGCTTTCAGGTACCCATGGAGGGGCTCCCGCCCTGGCCCCAAGTCTCCCACCTGCAGACTGGAAACAAAGCCTGTCCACATTCCACGCCTCGCAGGACACCTGTGAGCCCTCTTTGGAGAGACTCGCTCAGTTTGGGCTCTGAATGAAGAACACCTCGTCTGATTATGCGCATTAAGGTATGCGTGGCTGATCTAAGGTTTGGGCTGAGAGTGGGGAGAACTGGCCACCCACCGCACCCTTCAAGAGGGCTGGGGGAGGTCGGCGCGGAGTGAGGCAAAGGCACAGAAAGGGGCTATCCGGCCAGCCAGCCCTGGTACGAGCAGCTGTATCTCATCCCCCAGACAGCACCCTGGTTCTGTGCAAGGGGACCTTCCATCACAAGGTGCCATGACCTGTCTCTGGAAGACCTTTTCATGTGTACTTCCCTTACGCGCCCCGGAACACACCAACCACTCAACGGCCCTAATCCTTTCTCGGGCACTGCTTTCTTTCACGCTTCCTTTCCCTCGCGTGCACCTTTCAGTTGATGGGCGTCCCGGGCAGGTTTCTAGGGGTGCTTGGTGTGTTACTGGGTTAGTGACACAGAAGCAGAAGGGAAGCCTCTGCAGGGAGCTCTGGCCCCTGCGGCAGGCGCTCCTACCATGTCGCTCTGGGACTGCGTGGCCCCGTACGCGGCAATCCCGTCCGAGGGTGCGGCTGGCTGTGGCGTGTCAGGCTGGATGTACCCTCTTCTGTCAATGAGGCTGCCAGAGAAAACAAAGCAATACGGAGGAAGAGAGTGAACGAAAAGCCAAAAATGCCATCAACCCTATTTCAATTTCCTCTTTCTATGTGGGGCCCCACTGCCGGCAGCTGGGGCTACACCCTGACTTACCTTCACGTACAGTCAGGGACCAAATTCCGTCACCCTTGCCTTCAAAAAATGCCTGTAGCCCCTGTTCCCCCCCTGCCACCTGCTGCGGACTCCCACGGTCTCCCACCCCGACCCCAGCCCCCGCAACCACGCCCGGCATGGCCAGCGGCCCTCCGCCTAACGCCCAGTCCTCATGAGGTCTCCCCGCCTGCCTGCCCCGCTGTGGGGGCGCTCCATCACCCGCCAGCACTCCGCAGCCTCTTAGCATTTGTCCCCACTTCCCGCCCCAGCCTCAGCCCGTGCCTTCTTAGTGCAAGCACAGCGCTCCCGGGTCCACTCCTTCCGGAGGCGCGTGGTACCTGCCTGCGCCTGCGCGCGGCACAAGCCCCGCCCCAGCCCGCTCGCGCTCGGGGCTGGCTGGCCCCGCCTTTCGCGGCAGCTCGGGTCTGTCTCGCCCCAGTCGCTCTCCCTTCCATTCCACTGTCCGTTCTTCACGGGCAGCTTCCAAGGCCCCCAGCCCGTGCTCTTGCCCCTCTCTGGCGTCTCCCGGCCCTCCCCGTGACCCCTCTAGTGCTGCGTACCACTTTCTGCCTGCGTCGCCGTGATTTTATCTACAGTCCCCTCTGTCTGGCAGCCTGCCAGCTCCGGAGGGCAGTCTTCATCTTTTCTTCCCCCAAAACACTTGCCCCGCCCCCCCTCCCCGCGCTCCCCCCCCCCCGCCCCGGACCGGGCCCCTCCGCTGTCCCCTCGGAGCACCCTGTTGGCTACATCATGTCCGCATCACCCGCTTCCAGATTTGCGTCTGTCGTGGAGTGTAAGCTTCAGAAGGGCAAGAACCAGGTCTTCCTAATCATCGAGCTCCACAGCGGACGCCCACTAGGAGCTGAGAAGAAGCTTGGTGGCTGAATGAATAGAAGTGGGTCCCTGTCTCCCACAGGCAAGTTTGCAGACTAATGGCATCGTTAAGGAATAATAAAGCCATCTCTTCTGTGCCCCATGGCTGGGGGGCTGCTGTGGCCCAGACAGGATGTAGGGGAAAGCTTTACGTTGCCATCAAAAGAGCTGCCTCTTTTCCTCCCCGAGCGAAGGCTCAGTGTTGACCTCGAGTCTAAGGGCAGGACTGCAAAGGGCAAGGGGGAGGTCCAGCTTACGAGTGGGCGCTCCTGGTGTGGCCCCCACCGTGTGGGGCTCGGCCGCGCGCCCCGCAGCCTCGGCGAGATGCCGCAGGTGCATCCAGGTGCCCACACGTCCCCTCCTCCTGAGGGTGGACTGCTGGTATGCTGAGGCCGCCCTCCTCCTTGTCAGTTTGGCTCTCAGGAGACAGGAATTTCCCCAACTAGCACCTGCAGGTCTCCAGACGACATGGTAACAAGGCGTGAAAAAATACTTGTGACAATGGGACTCTCTCTGCTTCCAGTTTTGGTTGGATTCCCAGAGGTTAGAAAAACTAACAGTCGACAAGAACCTCCATCTTCCAAAGGGGAGTGCGGGAGCCCCGTGCAGCTCACACCAAGTGTGTGACCCCTTGCGAGGGCACAGAAGATCAAAGTGGAAAGAGCAAAGAAGGGTGGACAAGCGCTCATCTGCAGCCCACGGCGGACGGGAACCTTGCAGGTCCCCTGGGACAGAGCCAGTGTGCAGTGGGGGTGGAACTGTGTCTTCCCAAAAGATGTGCTGAAATCCTAACGTGGCTACAGGTGAAGGGGTGGAGAGTGTTGCCTTTCAGTGAACTCCCGGGTCTCTACTCACGGAAATGACACGATGCTCAAGGACATGAAAGTGCCCTGAGTCCTTTGTTTTGTTCCATTTTTAGGTGACAGGAGAAATTAAAGGGCTTGCAGGGGATTTCATTCAGGAGCAAAACAAAAACAAAAACAAAAAATGAGGTCATCCAAAGAGTCTGAAAGGACAGAAGGGAGGACAAAATAAACTCCTTCTCAGCTTTCATCCCGTGTTCAGTTTGTTTCATGGACCATCCACACAGCCAAGACTGTAACATTCTCTCCCGAGTCTCCTTTCAGTCCTCACAATGACCTGGGAGCCCCTCTAATCTGGACGTGCTCCCCTTGCCTCACCTCTTGCCTTGCCCTCCGTGGTCCCCTCACTCCTAACCCGAGCTCTTTCAGCTCCTCCCCTGACAGGCCACACTCTCCTTTCACCTCAGGGCCGTTGCACAGGCTGCTCCCGTGTGTCCTCCCCAAGATTCCTTCCTCCAGTTCCTACTCATCATTACAATAGATGACAACTTAGGCCCCCTCTTCTGGGAAGCCCTCCTGGGTGTCCCATGGAAACTGCACCCTGCCCTCTGTCACAGCCACTCTTTTACTGTGTAGACTTGCCATTCTATTCAATCTGTCAGTGACAGGTTGACCCTTAGCACCAGCCCGGAGAGCCTGACCCTGATCACACCTTGGGACTTTCTCTCTTTCCAATTTTCCATTCCCTCTGCTAGACTCGTAGGAGGACCTCCTCCCCCAAACCTGGCCATTCCTACCCTGCTGCCATGCACAGCCCTGGGGACCCATGCAGGGAACCAAATGTGGGTCTTTGCCCTCATGGTTTATAGCTCTCAGAGGGAAACAGGAAGACGCTCTGATGAGCACATCGTTACACCATTTCAGAACATTTTAGAGGCAACTCAGGCACACGATTCTGGGCATGCTCGTGGTTCTTAGTCCCCGTTGCACAGGCTTGGCTGGGATGCCCGTGGAAGGTTCTGGCCCTCTTAGGGGCACCAGGGTGGGTGAGGTAGGGCAGAGAGAGAAGGGGCACAGAGGGCGACTGGAGGCAGAAGCAAAGACAAGCACTATCCCCCTGTCATTTCTGCCCAGGGCCAGCTCCGGGAGCCTGTGGGCACAGCGGGAGAGCCCAGCAGCCCATGTTCCCTGCACAAACCCGGGAGCGGTTCACGGGGTTCCGTGGGGGTGCTGTCCTCGAGAAATGCCCCATTCACAGGGACCTGGGTTCTGGAAAGAATACAGCCCCAACTCAGCCACAGTAGGAAATCTTATCCAGTCATGGAAGCCATAAGTTTGGTTGTGACAAGATTTGATATATAAACAATACAAAGCAGTGCCAAATGCAAATCAAAGAATGGGGAACAAGAAAAGAGATTTGCTCAAAATGTGAGACTTCTCAATTCCTTTCCTGGATTCAGATGTGCATTTTAGACTTGGGGAAGGAGGCCTGTTCCATTGTCCTCTTATGCTCCTCCGAGGCCCCTAGCCTGGGCTTCATGGCCTGACCCCATGATCCACAAGTAAATACATGGTAGGAGGAAACAAAGCCAAGTTGTAAAAAACCAAGCATTTCCTGAAGGGTTTTCTGGGCCCCTAAAGAGCCCCAGCAGGGATTTCTGGGTGGGTCTGGAGCTCTCTTGGAGAGAGGCTGACACCCTCCCAGGCATGTCTGACTCCCCAGCCCAAGGCGGCCCTTCATTCAGAGTCCTTGGCTGTCCCTTCCTGCAGCCCCTCCTCAGAAGAGGCCTCTGAGGAACAGGCCAGGGGGCTCCTGAGGGGCCCCAGTTTGGGAGGAGAGTGGCACAGTAGGCTCCCAACTTTCTAGGCCCAAACAAGAAAACAATCAATTTCTAATTACCCAGTGGTGCCAGTAACATAACCCATTAATACTTGGCCTCAGAACGTATGCTTGGATTTTGTTTCTGGGAGGGAGGGCAGCACTCTTACTTCCCTGATGATATTCAGTGAGGCTGATAATAAAATCAAGTTTGCATTCCATGAGTACACATTGGTGATGACTGGCCACGGAGGTCCAAGTGCAGAGTGGGGCTGCCTCGGAGACCATCCCTGCAGCTTTCGTGAAGTCCATTTATGCATTTAGAGGCCAAAAGGGAGGAAGTAGCAATGTTTTGGAAACTCATTCTAGAGACTTGGAACACATGCTTAATAAATATGTTGGATGATTATTTGATGAATCTGTTGGAAATGCTCTACCTGAGAGTCAACTCACAAATAATCAGGAGCTGAATGCATTCTGTACTTGTGTAGTCTGCCTGGGGGACAGCACGCACCATTCCACACGCATGCTAGGTCTGTTGCCAGAGGCCTGGGTTTGGGTCCTGACTAGGTGGCATTTACTAGCTCAGTGAATGTGGGCACATTATGGAACCTCTCTGTGCCAGCTTCCTCATCCACAAAATGGGGTCTAATGGTACCTACCTCTTAGGTACAGAGCGAGGATTTAAAAGCTGATTCATATAGGGACGCCTGGATGACTCAGTTGGTTGAGTGGCTGACTCTTGATTTTAGCTCAGGTCGTGATCTCAGGACTGTGAGATCGAGCCCCACATCGGGCGCCACGCTCAGCGCAGAGTCTGCTTCAGATTCTCTCTCCCTCTGCCCCTCCCCCTGCTTGGGTGCACGCACTCTCTCTCTCTCTAAATAAATGAAATCTTTAAAAGCTGATACATATAAAGCACTTAGAGCAGATCTAACACTGTTCATGAACGTCCGCGACTCTGCCACCACACACTGTCACGTTACCATCCACACGGCCTGGACTGCTTCAGCCCACGCTGATCTCTCCACCTGAACTATTTTAGCGTGTATATTCTATATAACTCAGCTCTTAGCACCCATTTCTACAGGTTTCCTAATTGCTTCCTACATTGCGTCCTGGCCCTCCTACCAAGATAACCGCAGCTCTCTGTTCATCACCGATGCTCAAGATGACTCAATAATTAATGGGAATCACATGCCTCAGTTTCCCTATTTCAATCCTTAGGAGATTTTCCTCATCCTTGACACAAATTCGGTGAAAGAACCAAAAAGATGGCAGGAACAGCATCATAAACAGAGCCAGATCTCTATTGCACCAGGGCCGTGTCTCCACAGCCCAAAGCTGACCACTGGCCCTGTGGTCATCCAGAGGGTATAATCAAATCTCACAGTGGGTTTTGTGGCCGGGTCTCCACCTCACGAGGGCTGTGCTGCCACAGCTAAGTTGTTGGCTCCGAGGTCTGATAAAGAGCATGACACTTTCCGAATCTCACCTTGGAGAGATGGGCCCACACAGGGCAACACAGCAATTTGTGAAGATATTCCCGTAGCTGTAGGGATTGTAATTTTCTTTGCCTCTTTTATTTGACCAAGATCCTTTAATCTGAAAGAAAAAGAGAATCAATAACACCAGTGCCATCGTTTAGGTGAAAGGGAGCGTGAGAAGCCCACAAAGAATGCAAATCATCTTTACTCACTTCTTCACCAGGAGAAACTGAGACACTTTCTCCAGGAAAACTGGTATTTACCCCAAACTTGGAAATATCCCCAAAAGGCAGGTCAGATTAGAGAGAAAGTAACATTCTTTGGGGAAAATAATCTCTTGTTTCTATTACATGGTTCCAGAGGTCAACTCATACAAACCCGTGGTTTGTTTCAGGCTCCCAGTTGGCATGCTCAACAGTAATTAAATGAACGATAGCTGAGAGTTATCATGGCTCCCCCAACCGCCAACTTACAGCCTGTCTGCATTTGGCCTCACAATGTCGCCAAAATAATTTCACAGATTCGAATATCCACAGTTACCAAACATAAGTTCTCTTAACTCATGTATCTCATCAAGGCTTTAAGGCAATCTGACTGAATCTGAGACATTTAATCGCTGTACTGACAGAGACTTTTGTCAGAATCTAAATATTCAGAGCAAAGAGGACCAGGTCGATGAGGAACATTTCCAACATTATGATTCCTGTTTTTATACCTCCTCTCGGGCCACATTAAGTATAGACAGGTAATCCCGGACAAAAAGTAAAACTCTGGGTCGGGGCAGTCTCCTCTAAAAATGAAACGGAGGTGTTAAACATGAGAGGTGGATTCATTCGTTCACCCCGAGATGTCAGCGGGCCACGGTCTCTCTTTAGGGGACTCACAAAACTACTGAAAAGGAAGAGAAGATAATCTCCTCCCTTTGGAATTGGGTGTCACTTAGCTGACCTCAGTATCTGACTGGGTGTTCAGAAAGTAAAACAATTCAGAGATCCCCAACTGGGAATCATGGAGGTCAACGTCTGAAGATGCTTCCATGGCACATTCTTGGCTCCCAGAGGCTCACATCTGGAATGGGATGTGCGGAAGGCCTTGGCCCCCAAGCTCTTGTCTCCTTTCCCCCTCCATCTCTGGACACAGGTGCCCACACCCACCACCCCGGCCCGCCAGGAACTTACGTCTTCATTCGTCGTCTGGTTGGAGCTGATCAGGTACGTGTGGAAACCTGAGAGGCCGACGATAGACCAGACGGAGAAGAAGCACACCACGGCCTCCAGCACGGTGGCCTGGAGTCAAGGAGCAGAACAGGGAAGGCAGGGAGAGCTCTCAGGATGCCTGAGGGGCTGGGATGACGTGAGGTTTGGACGGGAAACACCCACAGACACTCCCTCAGGCCTTTGAGTCTGTCTCGCTTCACGTCAGGGTCGTCCCTAGTCAGAAGGGGATCCTCCAGGGCCGGCACGACGCCCCTCTCTCCTCCAGCCTCCCCTCCTTCATGCTCAGTGAACCATCAGTGGGCTCTGTGAACTGTTGTATCAACAGGTCTCTCCCCCAGCTTGGTGTCGAGGGTATGAGTAAACTGTCACAAAACAACAGTTGATAGTCATGCGCAAGGATGGCCACCAGCACCTAAAAGCCTGGGCAGGCCTTCCCTTCATGCTTTCTCTCTCCCTGATTGTTCCTTCACCCAATGGTGGCTGCCCACCCCCTACCTATGAGTGGGCTTCTGAAGGGGACCATTTCTCAGAGTGGCATCAGGGTGAGGGGTATTTTTACTTAAGGGGAATTTTTTCCAGCCCCTTAGCCCACGCCGACAACTAAGGCTATTTTCAGCTAGTCGATGGGTAACTAGAAAATGTGGATGCTCTCCAGACATTGAGTGATGGGGAGTCCAGAGTTCCACAAGATGTGCTATAACCAGAGGAGAGAAAGTGTGGTATTCTTCAAGAGATGAGATAAATCAACACAGAGTGTGGCAATTTGAAAGGACTAGAGAATTTTTCTGTTCCACAAATGTTTATAAAATTCTATTTATAAGATATAGATGTTTCGCAGAGAAAAAAAAATATCCATCATAGGTCTGGGAGTTTAAATATACACCATGCATCCCCCATCGATAAGTTACAGGCTGGAGAAAACAAATTCCCATGCTTTCTTAATGCTCCCAAGGATAGAAGCCATAGATCATGCTGTAATACATCACCATTGATTTTTTTTTCAGGATTGGATATAATTCATCTTTAGGCCAGAGAAATGAGTATTCAGTGCAGTGTCATAATCTGCCATGTCATTATTAACAAATACCATCATCCGGGCATGTGGGGTGGCATACAAAATAGGAGAAATGAATGGGCTCCTGCCCGTTGACTGACTTTCAGCATCAGCATAAACCACTGGCTTTGCTCTTGGAGAAGTAGAAAAATGCTTTACTCTTTTAAGGTTTAAACTTCTAGAAACTACAAGCACTCAGAAAAGCACCACCCTTTCACTAGATGGACATCTGAAGAGGAGACGAATGCTCTTCTGCCAGCTAGCCCAGATGAAAATAGCCCAGAGCACCCAGAGTCTTCGAAATGCCAACATACGGCGCTCCCAGCAAGCCCTGTCCATTCCTTATGGAGGCAGGCAGGAGGCGGACGAAAGGGAGGAGTAAGTAGCTTGAGAAGGGGAAAACTAAGGCAGTATTTTGGAAAAGCAGGTAAGTACGGACATGTAGGGAGGATTTGAGGGGTAAGAGAGAGATGCAGAGAAGCCGACCCCGTCCCAGGGCTGCCACCAGCCTGGGCACCCCTTTTCATTTCTCCCAGGGTTGTCCAGATGGGGCAAATAGTGATGAGGGGAGGCTTCAGGTGCACCTGGGGACACACGGGTGGCAGCCCGTGTAGCAAAGATGGTCTCATTTCTCAGCAGCCTTTTTTTTTTTTTTTTAAGATTTTTTATTTATTTGCGAGAGCGAGAATGTGAGACAGAGAGCATGAGAGGGAGGAGGGTCAGAGGGAGAAGCAGACTCCCTGCCGAGCAGGGAGCCCGATGTGGGACTCGATCCCGGGACTCCAGGATCATGACCTGAGCCAAGGGCAGTCGCCCAACCAACTGAGCCACCCAGGCGCCCCTCTCAGCAGCCTTCTCACAGGTGACGGCTCAGAGATGCCCCTCCTCCGACCATCCCCGCCCCCCCGGGACAGACTGGGGAAGCAAACCACGTGGGGTTTGAAGGCAGAGGTGAAGTGGAGTCCAGGGAAAATGATGGAGGTAAGCAGTGCGAAAAGTGAGTCAAGGAAAAGTGGGTTGCATTAAGGCACGTGACACTGGCAATGAACTTGCACAGCTGGAAGGAAAAGACAAGAGCTAGAAAGGTCAGGGAGGAGGGGACACATGAAACGGAAACAAGAAATGGTCAGGGTAGAAAGGAGAATAAAGAATGAAAGCAAAGGACTTATTTGCTGAAGAGCCAAACTTCTATCTCAGGAATATTTAGGTGTCGCCGAAAGTTTGCCATCCGGGTAGAATGATGGTGATGTCAGAATATACACAAATGCTAAAGTGTAAACCATCTAAAACCGGTGTGCTGAAGTGGGGGAGGATCCCAGCATTTAAAGGGGCTGCTACCCATGTCCTGGTTGCCGCCCCATTTGCAACGCCACTTAAAATGATCACCCCTCAAAGGAGGCTTGTCAGAATCCTTTTCCAGTGGACATGGAACTTTAAAGGTATAGCTCCAAGACTAAGCTTGCAGTTTTCTGTATTGATATCTTGAGATTTAGAGACATTTTATAAATAGCAGACTGCAGTTGTATGCTTAGCTCACAGCCGGGTCAAAATGACATGAATACAAGGCAGGGTGCAAGACACAGCCCCCTTGCGCTTGCCCCTCATGGCGGACGCCCCCCACCGTGTGTCTTAAGGAGTGATCATCGTCATTCATAACAACTCGTGGCTGGTGTTTCTGGCTATGCATCAGGTGGTACTCCGGAGGCCTCACATGGATTAACTCACTTGATTCTCAGTGACCTGGTGAGAAGTGGGATTCCCAATTACCCAATAGGGAAACTGAGGCAGAGAGCAGTTCAGTACTTTGCTTGAGAAATAGCAGAGCTGGGGATGGACCCCTGGAAGTGTGGCTGGGCCAGTAGAACAGAAAAGCCACGGGCTGGTTCCTTTCCTATTCCTGCTGAGGACCAGGTGGCTCTAGGCTGACCACATCCTGCTGGGAGAGACGGGGACGGTCTTTGTCACGGATTTGTGACCCTACGGCAGCTTGAGTAGACCACTCCCCTTCAACTTCACTCTCAGGCAGGGTGACAAACATTTGAACACATCTTCTCACTGACTCAATAGCCAGATGTTGAAAATATCTATGCCATAATAAGATCCATATAAGTTTCTCTTGGGTACCTGGGTGGCTCAGTTGGTTAAACGTCTGCCTTCGGCTCAGGTTGTGATCCCGGGGTCCTGGGATCGAGTCCCGCATCAGGCTCCCTGCTCCACCGGGAGCCTGCTTCTCCCTCTTCCTCTGCCTCTCATGAATAAATAAGTAAAATCTTAAAAAAAAAAACTTCTCTTAAATGTGTCAAAACGTATTTACTGAGATTTTTAAAAGGGGAAATGAGGAAAAAATGTGCCAATTCCACTGAGAGCCATTTAATAAGAGTTGGATGTTTACTGCCTCAGAGATGGTTCTAAATGATAGAAGTTACCACAGCCAGTCTCTGTCTCCCTCCAGCCCCCAGTAACACAGGGAGCCTCTTGTGTGGCCAGTGGGGGTGTGTGTGCATGCAATTCCCTGTAGCTCCTAGCCCAGGATGTTGCACATCGAGGTACTCACTAGATGACTGTGGGAATGCAAAAGCCTGAAAAATGCTAATGGGCAGACACCTCTCCATTGGGTTCCTGCGCCATCCCGGGAGCACCTGCTCTGTGCCTTTCTGTGCAGCCAGCCCTCTGCACTGAGCACAGGGGAGGGGAGGAGGCATTCACTCCCTGCTCTAAGGGAGTATGGCTCTGTCTGCCCATGAGAGGCAAGCAAGGCGAGAATCCCTTGCAGACACATGGGCAGAGCATTGGACAGCATGGTGAGGGCATCTCAGTATTTGGAAAATCACAAAAGGTGAGAGACCATGGAACCAAAGATTTTTAATCTTTCTTGGTCCCCACTCTTTTCTCAGAAAAATAGGCACACACACTTTTTTTTCTTATAATTTCAGGAGTTTTGGAAACTCCCCTGGTACCTCTCCACAGATACACATGGACCTCAAGTTAAGAGGTCCTGATTTATTTTAATCCCTTAATTTTGCAGGTAGGAAGCTGAGGCCCAGAGGGGTCAAGCCACTTTTAAAAGCTCACACAGCAGTTCACAATAGAACAGAACTAGAACTTGGTCTCTAGACTTCTAGGACAGAAAGAACCCTTCCCAAGGCCCCATGCGATGGCATTTCACAGGACTGGCTGTCACTTACAGCAGCAAGGCCCCCTGCGATACGGAACCAGACCCATCAGTCCCACAGTCTTTGTCTTTCTTAGTATGTCACCAGCCATCTTTCCATTCTCCAACGATCAGGCTGGTGATGGTGTTTTCTGCCAAGTGCCAAATCCAGGTAATAGTTTAAAAAGTCTGTATTTCATGTGCATTTCCTCACTGACCCAAATCCCCTGGATTCCAGAATGGCTGGGGAATGCCAAGTCCAGGCTCTGCCTGGGGCCCTTTCCTTCCTGAGCACTGAGCGCACGAGGCTCTGGGCGGCATATGGTGTTGAGGGGCACTTCTCTGCAGCCAGAGACCTCACGAATTTTAATCTGCTTCAGGTCTCTGTCCTGGGTTCTGATGTTTAAAATGTAAGAAACGAATATTCTTAGTAATCTCTTCTTTTTCTCCCTTAAAAATTACAGTAAAATCAGCGGGGCACCCTTACAGGAAGTTTCAATGGAAGAGCGGACATGAGTGATATTTCCCTCTCTTCTCTAGATTCAGGGTCTACATCAGCATTTAATGCTTGCAGATATTTAGGTTCAGGAATTTGTCAGCATATTTTCCTCATCCATTGGATGACCTTATAATCCTTAGAGATGGGAAAATACAGCTCATACCCCTGTCACCCGAGCACCATTGCTGTGTCTGAGCTGGGGACTCTTCATGTCCCAGTGATTCGCGTGACAGACACTTTGGGAAGTCATGGAGACCCTTCACTCTGGATCATGTGACCATCATCTTTCAGTCTCTGAAATCCTTCTGTCCTACATTCTTTAATACTGGGAAATAAAGGTGCACATTCTCCCAAACTAAT